AATAAATGGAGTTTGATTGAGTTTTAATTTTTTTTAATTAAAAATTAAATTAAATTGATTTTAAATTATATAAGTTTTTAATTGTATTTTTAGGTTTAATGATTCATTTCAAAACCTTAACATTTAGGTTCAGTTAATCAAAATTTTCACTCTTACCAACTACTTAACAATTTCTCTTTCTCCTATAATTCCCTATGTTCAAAAATAAAAAATTGTATAAGTTCTAGTTGATTAAGATAAATATAACTGAAAATATTATTGATAATTTTAAAAATTTTCGAGGTTTGCTGACTACATTTCACCAATTTATTTATTTACTTATTTACTAATTTTAAATTTTTTTAAGATATAAAAATATTTTTTGAATTAAAATCAACACTAATTCAAATGATTATTCTAAAAAATGTAATCAAATTTGATAAATTTTTATTTTTTAATTTAATTAATAGTTACTAAAATTTAAAATTTAAAATCTTGTTTAATTATAATTTAATTTCAATCATAATCAAAACCAAACCATACCTTACTAGTACTATTTACAAAGAAAAAGAGTAAAAGATCAAAGTTTAAATTGTATAATAAAAGATAAATTTTGTTCCCTTTTTATGATTTGTTCCACTCAATTAACATGCTAACCTTATTTTTTTTTTTTTAATAATTTAGTATCAAGAAATCGTTCATGCAAATGCAATGCAACTTGTTATTACTTTCTCTATTTTCCTTTTTTTCATCTTTTTATTTGTTTATTTTCCATTAGCCGTATTTTTATTAAATTTATTATAAATCAACGCTAAATTTTGTCAGTTCTTATGGAAACCACTAATTAAAGGTTGGACAGCCCAACTCATTTGCTCTTTTTTTGATTATTAGGACTCGGAGGCGTCTAGGAGGCAGTAGGTCAACGATCTTTAGTCAAAAGAGTTGGCTTTGGAGCAATTGGATAAAAGATGTGAAAGAAATATAATTTTTCCTTGAAAAAAAAAACAAAAACCTAAGACAATCAGTACATTAATTAACTCTCTTCTGAAGGAGTATGGAGATAGGGACACCTCGAACACAAGTTACGATTCTTTCTCACAAAATCAAAGATGTACGAAGAGAGAAAAGCATTAATTATTTTGAGTTATATATCATTAACTTCAGTAGGGACACCTGGAACACAAGTTATGATTCTTTCTCACAAAATCAAAGATGTACGAAGAGAGAAAAGCATTAATTATTTTGAGTTATATATCATTAACTTCATTACTGTGGATTCTCAATGTTGCTGAAGTAAGTCTGGAAGTAGATATATAGGATAGATTAGAGCACATAGATGATATTATGCAAAGGACAAAATGGATTAAAGGAGTAATTATGAATAAGTACAAGCACAATGTTAAGAAGGCAAATAAAACCAAATAGCAAACCCTTAAATCCCGGAGGCAATATCCAAGTATGCAACCTTAAATCTTCAAGATAACAGCTTCTGGACAAAATATGGCTATAGTTCTTCCTGGGTTTCTGGTCTTACTTTTTCTTAGATCATAAAGGAAAAACCATTTTGAATCCGTAAGTATTATTAATTAATTTTACCAAAACACATTTTTCCAAAAAAGAAATGATGATTGTCATTTGGAATTCCCAAACCCTTTATGGCCTAATATCCTAAAGGATGTTTTGCGCCTGTGCATGGTAGCGAAAGTTGCTGCAGTTGCCCTATTTGCAGGAGGTTCATTTGTGGTGTAGTTAAGGTTCTTGTCTTGAACAATGTTTAGCAATTGCTACCATGCAAGACACCCAATTGACATGCTTAATTTCTTGAAAATCTTTATAAGATCTTTATAATTAAATTTGAGACTTTCAACTTAAAAAATAATAGTTTAAAATCATTAAGATTTTCCATCATAACCAAAATTATAAGAAAATTCTATGGTCTAAGATTAGCATTGTTATGCATAATTTTGGGGGATTAGTGGGCAACATCACTCCGGGTTTTCTTGCATAATAGTTTTCCACTTGACGATCTCTTTTCTTTAATGGTAGGGTATTCACCTTTTTCCACCCTTTCTTTGAGGAAAAAAAATAGGCTATAAATTGTCTTTTGGGTTCAAGGAAACACACGTGCTGTAAATTATTAGAGACACATAGGAGGATGCCCCAAACTCTAACTTAAGGAAAGACTATACCAGTTGAATCAGTGTAAAATAAGAAAGCACTATTTTCAATAGAGAAATATAGGAATGTGCACTTAGATTAGTTAGATTCTTTCCCCCTTTCATATGAAACAATGCCCGAAATAAAGACGGTCCATTAAATTAAGAGGCACCAATAAGGGGTTTCCAAGAAACTAAGAAGGGGTTTGGACACTTATGATTACAAGTCTCAACTATCAACAGATCAGTGTCTTCCACATATGGTTTCTTTAAACTTTGGGAGCACTACATGAATAAGAAATGTGTCTTCTCTCCTGACTCGTCGGATGCAGGAAAAAAGAAAAAAGGAAAAGGGGGAAAAAATTTCTCAAGTAGGTATCTCCACGACTTTTGCATATACTAAGATTATTAATTTGCCCCCCTCAACGTGTTAAGGACGGCCAGATTCCAAATCCCAGCAATTATTGAATAAAGGTCAAGCGATATTCTAAATCAAAAGAATGTAATGTAATTTAAACCATACAATATAAACATTATTAAATAAGAAACAAGTTTTTATTCAATCGTTATTGTTTTATAATTTAAATTACAAAACCTAAATCTCATTTTAAATTTTTGCTTCTTTTAGGATGATTTTTTGCTTAATGAAAAATGAAAATCAAATGAGAAATAATATTAAAGTTATTTGATTAACAAAATTGTTATGGTTACAATATCACGTGATATTGTAAATTTATAACATAATATATTATTATATAATTGATTTTTCTCTTAAAAAATCCATTAGTGATATATATATTTATTTAATACTATATTTTATCTATTTAATATTTTTTTTTTGAACGAGGGAAATTTACAGGGGAAATTTACGGGGGAAGAAGAGTAAGACTTAGGATTTGAATCCAGATCATTATGTTCATCACACCTATTCAAGATTATTTATTTAATATTATATCATAATTATAACTTTATAATTTTATATAATATTATAATTATAATATTATGGATTGAGTAATGTGTATGAAAGATTAAGGACACTTTCCAGTGTCCGGAATTAAATTTGGTTTACCAAACATGCATGAACCATAAGTTTCTCCTTTTGTTTCCTTGTTCTGTACATAAACCATAAAATAGCGTTTAAAGAAACCGTGTTCTGCTCTCAATTTGTGTGTCAAAACATTTTTGAATTGCTGTGTTGACTTGCTACAAAACGTTTTTGAATTGTTTTGTCTTGACAGGGTACAAGGAACAATTTTTTTAGGATGCCGTCCAGGGAGTTTAACTCACATTTCCAAATTGCATATCCGGAGCTCGAATATTGTGACGATCGAAAAATGACGTGCAAATGAGGCTAATTCCATCATGTCATTTCATTTTAGGCTGTTTATGTACTGTTTACTGATGCTTTTTGCCAGGCCTTTACAGCCCAAATCAATGGTGCTCAAATAGTGTTTGTGACATATTGCTTTGCATAGGCCTACTTGCTTACAGAAAGGCATGGGCCTATACATATCAGCCCAAAATCATAAAATGCAGGTTAAATTACAAGTTTACAACCAAGTCACCCAATGGGAAAAAGGTTACTTCTTTACGCTTGGAGAGAGCAAAGTGGGTTGTTTTATACTTTAATTGAATGAGTATAGTGTTTTGCAATTCCAATTATTCTTAAATGTAAAATCCTAACCATACGAACGCACTGCAAAACACATTTTTCTTATTGAATTGGAAAGAAAAGGAAAATGAGTTGAATGCAAATGCTTAGAAGAAGAAAGGATAACCCTCTAATATATTACTTCTTCACAAGATCATAGGACAAGAAATGTAAAGCCAAAACAAAAGATTTCCTAGTCTTGTCCAAGATTTCAGGACAGCAATCAACACTGCTTATGTCGTAGACAAAAGGACTTTGAGAGCAACTTCTTCACTTGTGGTCACACAACTGCCCTGAGTTAACGACTTCTATAATCCCTATCTTCTCATCTTACAAGCTTTGTATTTGGAAGAACCAGCTTCTGAATTCGGATTGGTTGGTCGTGGCTTTGCCTTTGAATTCATATGCAACCCTTAGAAAACAACAATACAAGTCGGTTTTAAGGTAAATCATGATGTGTTGTATCATTAAAGTCCTATTCAGACTATCTGAATGAAGGACACTCTTAATTTGATGAAATCCAGAACCAGAGTTTTGGGCTTAGAATCTTACTCTCAAACTTAAATTCAGGCCTCTTCCCTTTCTTAACAAGCTCAAACTTGACAGAATCCCCGATCTTGACGCCATTTGCAATGCACAAGTCTCTGCAACCACGGGAGATATAAACTTGTCCATTCTTCCTGCGCCATAAATTTGCTGTCCATGATCTGCCTTGTTTATCTAAAATCATTGCCTCACGAGCGCTGTTGCTCAGTCCACTAGACCTTGCAAACTGAGTAGGAACCAACTATGGAAGCAAAGACTGTGAGTGGCTAAAACAAGCAAATTTTTCTCATGAAATATTATATAAACAGCAATCAGCATAGATACATACTAACCAATCTAAACCTTTCGAAGTGATGAGGCCTTAGAGTTAAACAAAAATAATTGTCTTCAGGCTTGAAAGCACTGACTTTCCTTTTCTTAGTAGACTGTCCTGAACCATTAATGAAAGAAACAACTCTATTAGTACAAAAATACATTAGAATCCTGCAAAACAGAACTGTTGGGCTGAGAAGTAATTCCAATATAAGGACTTGTTCTCATCTAATAATTTAAATTACACAATTTGGACTGGGCAACATTTAAAAAAAAAACCTTGAACATGCATAACATGAAGCGTAAGAGAAAGATTAATTACTGGCCGTTTCTTTTGCATCTTCTTCCTCCTCTGAACTTTGGTTTTCTTCTTTTGTTATTTTTGTAACAAAGTGAGGATATTCTCTCTGGCAGCTGCTTGTGTCAAAAACCATAACATCGAACACCCTGTTCCCTTCTTCAAGTTTAAACACCAAGAAATAGCCAACCTCCAAATCATGATCTCGAACAAAATTTTCCCAGCCATCTTTGAATGTCCGACCCTCAATCCTCACCGGCCAAGTTCTCCCACCCCAGCTTCTCAGCACAGCAGTCTCACACTTTTGTCCATTTAAGTAGTACTTGTGAAAATAGACAGGAATTGACTACAAATTAAAGCATATTTAAGTATTTATATATATGTTGTTCTTGGTCAATCAACTAAACATGAAACACAGATAAACAGAAACTTACAAGCTCGCGGTGGAAACCTGGTAAAAGAGGTTGGAAGAAATGAGGTTTAGTCGGAGTGAAATTTCTTGTACATTCCATTGTGTTCCGCCAGAATGACAATGGAGATCGTTTAATCACCCTGATAAGGGATATATCTTCCATTGCCCTATTTCCAAAAAAAAAAAAAGGACATCTGTTGACCGATTAATCTTATGAATAAATGTTTTTAAAGTTTTGATAAGACTGGTGAAATCTATTGCAGAGGCAGGCAGACTGACAAAGGTAGCATCGCATTCAATTTGATTTGGCTAAAGTGCACGTGGGAAACTAGCATCGCAACTAGAGTTTTTCAGGTTTTGAACAGGGTGACAATCTTTCCTGATCTTTGCGGGGTCTTGTTGGGATTTCCCATTAATGGGGTGGAGAGGAACGAGACGAGGATAAGGAGTATTTTTTCTTGGTGAAATTTTGTGAAAATTTTTATGGACAATCCTACGGGGATCTCATCCTTGCATAAATCTAAAAAGTATTTTAAATTATTTTATTTTTAAATTTAATTTAATTTTTAAACTCAAACTTAAATTCAAACCCAAACTTAAACTCAAATTCAATTTAATTAAAATTAAATTTAATTCAATTTTACCTTATCTTATCCAATTCAACCCAGTCCAATCCATAAAAATTAACCAAACTCATTATTAACCATTTAATCCTGACAAAATACTCAAATTCACTTTCAAAGTACAAAGATAAAGATAGATTTACCCCAAACAAAAAATAAGAACAAATCCACCCACAAAATTTTTAATTTAGACAAATCACTTCAAATTTAACATATGACGTCATCTGACGTCAGCAATCCATTAATTTGTTATATCGCTAATAACAGATTATTGACGTCAAATGATGTCAAATTAACATATTGTTGACATCTGATAATGTCACACGTTAAATTTGGAGTGATTGATCCAAATCGAAAATTTTGTGCATAGATTTGTTCTCATTTTTTATTTGGGGATGGATGCGTCCCTGCCACTATACTTTGGGAGTAGATTTGGGTATTGTGCCTTTAACCCTAACCCTTATTC